CCCCCCCCCCCCCCCCTTCCCCTCCAGTAACTAGTGACAGCATGTGATCCTCGCGTGGACAGCGTGCCCCCCATTACAGCTTCCTGGCGGCAGTGACGCCTTTGGGTGCTTTTTGTGTTTTTGACATGAAGGCTGGTTTTGACAAGAAGGGGTGCGAGGTTTGATGGCCGATGCGTTTGTTTGTTTTTTTCCGTTTGGAGAAATTTAGCATGGCATCAACATCGTGATTACCTCACCCTCCCCCGCGGTCTTTGGTCTAACCACTTAGGCATGCGTTCACATGAGTACCCCCCCCCCCTTCCCCCCCCCGATCCCTCGCCCCCGCCACGTGGTCGCCCAGGCGTTCCCGACCTTGAAGCTGTTCAACGAGGAGAAGCTTCTGAAGCCAGACTACAGCGGGGACCGCACGGTGGAGGCATTCTCCACCTACCTCTACTCCAAGGCCGACGGAAAGGTGTTTTTTTTTTTTTTTTCGCGTCGCATCGTGTTCTTTCTCCCTCTCCCTCTCTCGCATCATCCCTCTTGTTGGAGTCGAGGGATATACATGGTGTGTGCATGAGGTGGGCGATGGTTGTAAGAGGCGGGGGGGGTGTCTCGTTGTGTGAGAGAAGGCCTGTCTGTCCTTTCGTCGCTCCACGTAGACCTCGTAGATTTCGTAGATCTCTTGACGGACGGGGATGCCGTGCATGTTTACATACGTAGATGCACACGTTGGGTTGGGTCCCGCACTGCACCTGTGCCACCCAAGGGCGAAAGGGAAAGGGAGAGATCCATCCCAAATCGTGTCCCCCCTTTGCCGTCTTCCTGGACCCTTGAATATGGATTAATCCACGAATACGTACGTAGCAATCAATCCATGAATGGGCGGGGGGGGGTGCTTCCACCACCACACGAGGCTACTTGTACTGCTTCAAGCATCCTTCGAATGTGGTACATGGTACATGTATATACACTAGCCGCCCCATTTCCCTGATATTCTCGGCAATAGAAAATGCGACCCGAATGTAGGATAAGTGATTTCGATATTCGCGTGTTTTCCATTTTTTTTCTGGTCAATCCAGCCTATGAAACACCAGAGGAAAGGGAGGAAAGGGTTCCCCGAGGTAGGTTTGCACGATGACAAGTGGCCCGGCTGCATGGTGACGGGACACATCATGGTCAACCGCGTTCCTGGCAACTTCCACATCGAGGCCGCCTCCAAGAGCCACACCTTCCACGGGGTGAGAGAGACAACGAGAGAGAGGGAGGGAGATGATGGAGAGAGAGATTGAGAGATGAGGGAGAGATTGAGATGCAGAGCGATGAGAGAGCGCGATGAGAGAGAGAGAGAGAGAGAGAGAGAGATATGTGGGGGGAGAGACAGAGAGAATAGAGAGACAGACAGAGAAACAGAGAGAGAGAGAGAGAGAGAGATCGTGTTCATCGTCATCGGTCGTGCGCATGGAAATGCTCACGATCCTCCCCCCCTCCCCGTGTTCCGCCGTCCTGTCATCGTCGCCACCGCTCTGCCGCTTTTGTGCCGGTTCGTGGGCTGGTTCGGTTACGTTCTGCTGGTCATTCCGCAATCCCACCCATGTCTTCGGACGGTGATGGCGATTAGGCAACGACCAACCTGTCGCACATCGTGCACCACATGTCCTTCGGAAACGACCCCCCTAGAAGGACACAGACCAAGGTGAGGACCTATGATTGTGGTTTGGACACAGGTTTTGCACGCGCCCCCGTGCGCCCATGAAGAGTACTCATTTTGGTTGCTTTTGGTCTCTCGCTGCGACCGTCGAACCAGAGCTGTGAATAGGTACTGATCACGATTGCATCGTTTCGTGGTTTTTGGTTGACACGGTGCTGCATGGGCGGTCTGGAGATGCGGCCTGGAGTTGCTGAGTGTGATCAAACAGGCGGTATGCCTCTCACCCGCTGCCGTGCTGCTCCTACATACTCTCGCCTTTGGTCTAATAGTATGACTCTTTCTATCCTTTCGTTTTTTCTTGCTGTCGCGCGTGCATTGTCTGTTCTTCACACAGAGCTACTAACTGCTGTCGCGTTCGTTCTTACTTTTATAGGTACGCCGTCCCCTTTTTTTTTCGTGGTTCTTATTTCTTGGTTCCCCTATTTTCTGTCTTTTAGATCAACCGTCTCACCGAGGATCTTCGCCAGAATGCTCCTCTCGACGGCAACGTTTACGTCGCCAACGCATACCACCAAGCCCCCCACCACTACCTCAGGGTGAGAGAGAGAGGCTGTTTGGGCTAATTGTTTTCTGTTCGGGATTTCAGCCTGTTCGGGCTATTTAGTTTCTATTCGGGGTGTTTGCTTCTGAGTCTATTGAAATAGGGGGGGGGGGGGGTTCTTTCATGTGGAGCTTCTTGGTCCTCTCACCGACATGCTCGGAGAAGCGAGACTCCTCCACACGTCGGGATGATGGTTTGGGGAGCTCTGATGCTCGAGAGTTAGGAATCAGTGAAACAATCCACGCCCCACGGCAAGAAATGAAGGCGTTTTTTTTTCATGCCCGTCGCACGTCTTTCTTTCTTCGAGGTTCCATCTCGCGATTCGCGTGGTACTGCTAATCCCAGTCAATAATATTTTTTAAGTTTTGTTGAGGCGCAAAATGTTGAAAACGATGGAGAAGTTTGTCCTTGCACATTGGAGGAGTCGCGGTGCGATGCCTGATGATGATGGGAGATAGCCCGGGTTCAATGCCCGCCACCCGGCTTATTGTTGATGGATCCCGATTATGCTTGTTTGTTGTTTGTCATGCTGCAGGCCCCCTTAATGAGTGGTGTCCAATCCTTACGCCTGAATGAGCGAGTGGTGGTTCTCGATCCTCTGGAGAATTTTCTTAGATGTTTCCCCTGGGTTCGTGCTGTGACAAGAACGATTGGTGGCGTGCCGTTGTGATGTGTTTGTTTTCAGGTGGTCGGGTCGATGTACCACCTCAGCCCGATGAAGACCCCATGGCATGGCTACCAGATCGTCGCCAACAGCCAGGTGAGTCAGTCCGGTTGCATTCCAAACACAGCAAACCGTACCAGGTGTTCTGGCAACGCGTAGATGAGTAAGAGCGTATTTCGTGGGAAACAGAAACCAAACCGTTGCAGAAGTCAGTGCTGACGGGTCTCGCGGTTTGGCTTCGTTTGCTCAACAAGCCTCACATGTTGTGCATGGGCTAGTCCGATGATATTCCAGTTTGAATGGCCGTGTGTCTCTCTCGCTCTTCTCAAGTACAGCGAATATCATCGACTGCACTGTAGTCTAACCGGCTTACCAATGAAAGGACGTCAGTGTCGGCGGTACAAAAAATGTCAATCGAGGGTCCCCGGAGCGGGGTTGCAGAAATCGAAGAGTTGTCATTGTCCAGAATGCCAAACCCCCTCTCTAGACTAGACTACACACCCTTGGGGGTGTTTTCAGATGGTGCTGTACGACGAAGAAGAAGCAGCAAGAGGTGCCCGAGGCTAAACGTCAAAATTCGCCCAGAACATGTCATGATAACATGTCATGATAACATGTCATGATAACACCTCTCTACCAAACACTTGTGTCTCTGTGTGTGTGTTTGTGTGTTTTTTCAGATTATGCTGTTCGGCACGAAAGAGGTGCCAACAAGCCTCTCTGTAATCCTCTCTGCAAGCCATTCCGCTTGTTTACATATGATGCAGTACGACGAAAACTAAGAGGTGCCCGAGGCCACCCGCCGCCCAGAACGCCATGATAAACCTCTCTACAAACCCTGACCCTTTGTGGGTGTGCGTGCGTGCGTGCGTTTCGTGTTTTTTTTTCCATTTTAGATGATGCTGTACGACGAAGAAGAGGTGCCCGAGGCGAGGTTCTCGTACAACATCTCGCCCATGTCGGTGCTGGTGAGAAGCGAGAAGCGCCCGTGGTACGATTTCGTCACCAAGGTGCTGGCCATCGTGGGCGGTACCTTCAGCATGGTGAGTTCCCCGCACACCGCACGCACACTAGGCCAAGTAAAAGACATTGGTGTGTGTTGGAATGAGCGTTGCTGCTTGCAAACGTTTGAATGGCCCTAGGGAAGGACACAGGGCGTCGTTGGCAGGTATTAAATTAAAGCACCCCGTGTTGTGGGAATACGTATGTATCATGCGTATCCATTGTGTGTACCGCCTTGTAGTCCCCGCTTATTTTCGTTGATTGCATGTTGTTTGGCCGCGCGGTTCTAGCATGGGTATTTTGTTGTTGGAAATTATGTGTTCTGAGCGTGGTTGTTGTCGTTCACCGCATTGTGTGTTCGCGGAGCAGTCCAACCTCCTGAATTTTTAACGGCTTCCCAGCATGATCGCGTTTGGTTCTGCCGATTTTGGAATCCTCGTTGTCGTGGAGTGATCGAGGCGTTAAGCATCGCTCCAAGGGGTTGTGGACCATGTCATGCACACCCTGCCTTGCGTGTATACTTCTACCGTGCGGGTGTTTGTCGGTGCGCTCCTCTGCGTTACCACCTTGTCACGCGCCGGGTGCAGAAAAGTTGTTGTGCCTTTGGGTTGTGACTGCACATGCAGTCCCTTGTCTTCTTCCCCGCTCGGCCACACTTCTGACTCTTGCCGCGGACACTGTTGTATGTGCGGTGCAATCGACGTGTCGGTTACGTACGTCAATATCGTATGCTCGTTCCTTTTCGCGGCCAGGTCGGGCTGGTCGACGCAGCCGTGTTCAGGGCGTCGCGAAAAGCGGGCCGGCAGCTCTCGTGAGGTGATCCACCCCTCGCGTGACGTCAATAGCACTGGTGACGTCATCAGCACCGGCGGGCACCTCAACTACCCATTCCCTTCCTTCGCTCTCCTTCTGCAGGGCTATGTAGCAGGAGGGAGAACACCAGCAGTGTATCAATGATTTTGTTATGAGGAAACTAGTCGAGTCTTTTTTGGGGGCGGGGGGGGCTTGCCGTTGCATGTGGGCAGGCGAGCAGGCACCAAGGGTAGCTGAATATACGCTGCCTGAGGAGAGTAACCGGACGGTGCTGACATCACTCTCGGTAGGACGCGGAATGGGCCCTTGCTACAGTTGGGAGGGAGTTTCGGAGGCAGTATCTAGCACCCGCCAACTGCTATATCTCGGCGGGCTGCTGCTGGTGTCTCCTGGCCTTTTTTGGCAGGGTGGCGACAGGCTCGGCGGGGATTGATGTTCAAGGTTTTTGTCCTGTTCTCTGCCTTCCAGCGTGGCCAGCTTTCTAGTACTCTTGTGTGTAGTAGCTGGGCATACATACGGTTTGGGTGCTTGGTGGTGTTGATGGCTTCCTTCGGCATGGACGGCGGTTGGTTGTCGGCTATTCGTGCAGCCTGGCTTTTGTGTGTATTTATTGCCGGGGGTGCTTCTGTGCTGATGATGATGCTGCTGAACTGTTACCCAAATCGTATTGCTTGCCGGGGAAACACACGATTGATCGACACATCATCAGTCATCAGTCCTACTAATACCCGATTCGGCGGACACCGAAAGGGATCGGGTGCCTGAAGCAACCGCTGGTTGTTGTTGTTGTCGTTTGTGCTCGGTGGCATCGTTGCGAAAAAACGTTGGTGTGTTTCATGTACCGGCACCCACAACAAGACTCCATCCCCCGTCGTCCATCGTCCTCAACAACGACAAAGAGAAAAGGAAAAGGTGCCCGCAGTTTCTGAATGAGGATTTTCATTGACCAGTCTGCACCGATTCCGAAAGAAGCATCGTTCATTGCGACATCTTACGTGTTCCGTTAGAGTAGGGGAGGGTATTGAAGGCCACGTAAGCCACCCCCACCCCCTGTGCTAAGAGTTTCGTTCTTGAGCAGGAAATAGAATTTCGATGCTATTATTGTGGTATCGAGCGATAGGTAAGATCACCCCCCGCCTACCTAAAAAAAAGAAGAAAAAAAATCGTCGACAGCGACGAGGTACTTGTAGGGCTGGAGCTGTAGACCTAAGCTGCAGGCGCTATTTTGAGAGAAAATTAACCCTGGGGGTATCAAAGGCCACTTTCTTCATTGGTTGATTTCGTACGTTTGAAAGCGTTTCAAGACCCAAGATTTGGTGGGCATGCGTAAAATGCAATAGGAATGAAGAAAAATTAAGAAAAAAAAAATGGACACCCGGGGATGAAAATGACGTATCCCCGGGTTTTCGACGCCATGGGTAGGGATGTTTTTTTCCCTCCGTGACCTGTATTGCGTGCTCTGTGCGTTCGAAACGAGGCAGAACAAACCCGTTTGGTGCATACATGTGTTATTCCAGTCAGTAGACGACTCGAGAAAAAAACATCACGGCGAAATGAGTTGTCTACGTAAAATGGTGCTCGGTCAATTAAGGGTACTTTTTCCTGATTTAGCATGCCGCTAATTCACGCCGAACACCGCCAAACGGTATCCACCATTGAGGAATACTTATTCATCCCCATGGCACAACCTTAATACTTATTCATCCCCATGGCACAACCTTTGGAGGGGATCTTTAAACATGAGTGAGAAACATGTTCAGGAAAAAAACAACACAAAAAAGAGCCACCCGGGGTTAGAACCACCGGGTCCCCGGGTTTTAGGTCAAAACCTGTGCATCCCTCCCCCCCCCGGTACTGGAACGCACGAACGTCACCATCAAATAGCCAACGAACCACACGACGTTCTACAGGGTATGTTTCGACTGTACGCACAATTTCACGACCATTGGAGCACACCTGATGATATTTTAAAGGTCAAATAAGGATACTTTTTCCCGATTTTTGGCTTGCCGCTACGGTACGAATTAACGCCGAAAACAACTGTAGTTTCAAAACATCTTTACACCCCCGCGACGATTGCTTCTGAGGGAACCTGTAAGCATGAGTGAAAAACATCTATTATCTGTTTTGAGTGGTCTGTTGGCTCTCGAATATCGCCCAGACATTGTTCATGATGTCATCCACCGATCGATCGATTCACCCGATTCCGGTAATTAAAGAACCGCCCCCCCCCCGCTCCGCGGTTTTTTTTGGCGCTCACGGCTGGCTCCGTCGTGCGGGCGCGTCAGATAGATGTGGGGATCGCGACGGGGCACACTCGAGGCATCACAAATAGCTCGTTAGTTAGCGCGTTGTTTGTTGTTGTCTTTACATCAAAAACCGTCCCGATCTCTCTGCCCAGTACCTCCATCAGCCCGTACTATTAGTCAAACACTCGACGCGGTCGATTCCCGTGGCCACAGGCGAACTTACCCTACATGCGGCATACTCAAATACATAGACCAGAAAGCAAGTCAAGAGAAACGAATCCGAAACCCATCCACATCCGTTGCTTTTTGTCGTCGAGCAGAAAAAAACATGAGTTGTAAAAGTGCAAGGTCGATTAATTAATGGGACGGCCGCCTCAACTTAGTGACGATCTCTTGGCCTCTTGGTCGAAACTAACAGCGCTTGCCCATCGGCGAACGAGGGTGTTCGCGGCACAACGAACCACGCGCTGATGGCAAGAAACAACAAAAAAACGCTTCCTCCTGTACCCAAGGACCTTTTCGAGAGACAAATAATCAAGCGGAACGTTGTGACGTGATTTAAATCGTTAAGGCCTCGAGGGTAAACTGCTGTCTGTACCTTCACAACACCTCCCCAACATCCGGGTCAAGCTGTAAGGTACATGCATGTAAATGGCACAGGATATCATTATTACTCATGATCGATCGCCTCCCAAACAACAACTACAAAACAAACAACGCACGGAGCTCCAAGGTATGCCCGTACGTACGCATACGAACACACGGACGAGGCGCTCCATGTTTCGGCCCTATTTCCTAGAATCCTAGCCCCGCAAAAAAATCAAAACAGTCAGACCAAAACTACGCAAGTACGTACGTACGTACGTTGTTGCTGACGCCGCCATGTTTCGGCCTTCACTTAAAGCCGAAAAAAAAACGTCGAGACAAACCTTACTGGAATTTTAATTTTTTACCTACGTCCGAGACTGCCGTCCTATCAACGGCACCCCGCCCACCCGAAACACATGAAACTTTTTCGTGCTAGCGCTTGGCTACTACAAGTGCTGTAGCCTCGCACTGCTATTCGCCGCACCCAATGTCTACAAGCATCACCACCAACACACTACTTGTGCGTACACGCTAAGACGCACACGAACCAACACCGAACAATAGTCTACTGCTTTTTGTGTCGTCCACTTTTTCTAGGTTGTGCTGACCAGACAAGAAGGCCAGAGCTGGATCCACGAGCAATCCGCCCGTCCCCTTCATCCTTCTCCGGCTCATCCGACATCGATTTCACATGAACGAATGTATACATACTTGTATACGTGTTGGAACATCGAAGAAGACTCGGCCGGCCCACGCCCCACGCCAGACTCCAAAAACAAAACATGAAACAAAAAATCACAAAATCCTGCGACGAACAGAAAAAAAAAACGTGGTGTACGTGTACGCTTCGGGGTACTGCTGTAACCCCCATCAGCTGCTGGAGCAGTACCACAGCTGGTGCTAGTAGGCGCATGCCGAAGGGGCGGCGTTCGAGCCAATCGAAAGGACTACCCGACACGCCAAGCCGCTACTCTATTGCTGCACGCATCGCCAGCGACCCCCCCCCCGCCGCGCGCCTTGTGTCCCATCACCTACGCGAGAGACAGCCTGCACTACGGGTCGCAGGCCATTTGCTATTTCATAACCCTACTCGAAGTGCTGAAGCACACATATTTGAATTGAACACAACGGGAGGTTCTCGTCATCCATCTGCGGCTCTCCAAGCACAAGTGTATGTCTCGAAAATAATGCAACGTTCATGGCCTCGTACCAATCGAAGAATTAACTAACAGAGCAAGTAACAGGCTATGTAGTAGACGTCCCCACCCACTCCAACGGTTGAAAGATTATAGCAGTTGGTATAGAAGAAAAAAAAACGGCGAGGCAGGGCAACAACAAGAACAACAACAACAACACATGGCTGCCGTTCAATCTGCTCCTTTTTGGCCAACCAGAAACGAACACAAAGACACACTGCTACCCCACACCCACATCAAGCTATCAGCAACGCACACCGCGCAAAAAAAAAGCGGGATGCTGTCACGCTGTTGCCGCAGACCACAAATGGTGGTGCTGTCGTCGTCTTCATGTCAAAAATGAGTTTGTTTGGCACATCTACTTGTATCAAATGCCTCCTCCTCCTCCTCCTCCTCCTCCTTTTAAGCACTTCCTCTTATGGGAGGCACGCGAAAGAAGATTGTTCGTGTTCACGCGCGCGCTGCGACCCAAAAACCAGGAAACACAGCTGTAGAAACAAAATCATAAAAATTAAATAAAAATAAAAATAAAACCCGTGGGAGGAATTCCCACCGCTCGTCAAGGAGGAAGTAAACAAAAAAAAACTAAATGCGAAAAGAGAAAAGAAATATTTTCTATGATAGAGATGGTTTCGTTGGGTCATATTAAGACAAAAAAAAAAAAAGGACAGGGTTAGGAAACGAAGCAAAACGCCGAAAGAAAATAACAGCAAAAACCGTAACCCACAACATGCCGAACTCAAACATAAATAAGCCTTGAAAACGCCAATTTCCCGGCGGACGGCGGGGTGCCGGGTCACTCGCTACATACCGCGTCACACCAATAACGATACGGCTGGCGAGCCCGCTAGACACAACACACCACCCACCCGGCTTGCCTGTAACGGCTCTACGACCGCTGCTGCTGCTGTTGTCGATGTCGTTCAGACGCTACACGAGGAGGGAAAAAAAACAAAAAACGACTGAACGAAAAACAAAAAAAAATCCCTCCTTCCTACAAAACACCGCCGCTCGCTGCTGTCGCGTGGGCATCTATCTAATCTGCTGCAGGCCACCAACAAACAAGAAAAAAAGAACAAAAGAGAACTAACGCACCACAATGCGGAGTGTGCATGGGTGTTTTTCTGGCTGTGGGAGGACTCGGCTTTTGCAAGCGAACGTCGCAAAGGCTGCACGGAGAAAATAAGGACGACACAACAGGAAGGAACCAACAGACCCAACCGCCGAAACACGCATCTTCTCACTCACGTCGCAAGGGACACACAAACGATGCAAAAAGATACCTATATACCACATACGACCGGCATCGTTTCTCCGGCACAGCACGCAAAAACACGCAACTTTGACGACGACGACGACGACGACGACAACAACCACAACGGCGAAGATAAGCTATTCTACTTAGGAGTAGATTTTAACGCAAAAAAGGCACGCACCAACGTACTGGGATTGTAATGTTCTTCAGCGCTGACTGACGGCCGCTGTCCCTGCATCACGCCGTGCTATATCTTCCCTCACTTACTTTGCCACGACGCCATCGGGTTAGCAAACATAGGACCACCATCGTCGCTACTCACACAAGCACGGCTGTCTGCATGAGAGCACGACATGCGCTCTCGCGCGGTACTGTCAGCAGAACACGGACTCCGGCATAAAAAAAGAGGGTCCTCGTCGTCGTCGAAAGTTCCCACTCCCTCGACATGAAGCACATCCACTTCCCTCACAAAACAGAACAGACGCCGAGTGAAGATGATGACACGATTGGGCGGCGCTCTCTACTTCCCTCTCACGGCGGCTCAACCAACGTACGAACCGGCACATGAAAAAAAAACCCGACTGATTTTCACGAAAAGAGCAGTAAAACTCAACACCTAGCGTCTCCAACGCACCGGGATCCCTCCGCCGTCTCCGCTGCCACCTTCACCGCCACCTCACCAAGCGGACGACAACGACCCCGGTCCTCCAACCGCCGCCGTCGCAAGGACAGCAGCCGCGGCCACACACAACAACAACAACAACCTTCCCCCGCCGCCGCCACCACCTCCGACAACCACCGCCGCCGCCCCCGACGACGTCCCCGCTTCCTCAACGCCTTCCGTCGGCGATGGAGTCCCGCCGATCGCATGAGCGCCGTCCCCGCCGTCCCCGCCATCATCATCATCATGACTATCGTCATCATCATGACTATCGTCATCATCATGACTATCGTCATCATCATGACTATCGTCGATGCTACTAGCAGACGGGGACGGGGTCGAGCCCTCGCCGATCGACGAGTCCTCGCCCGTTCCCGGAGACGCGATCGCCATCACCGGGGCCAGGGTAGCGGGGGCGTCGCCGCCCCCCGGGGACGCGATGATGATCGACGACGGCGCCGGCGTGTCACCGCCGCCGCCACCGCCATCGCTATCGTCATCGCCATCGACAGGCGCGGCGGCAGAAGAAGGCCGCCCCGTAGCAGCTCCCGTCCCGTCGGGCGTCGGGGCGGGCGTCGCTGTCGCCGCCGCCGTTCCCCCGGAAGAAGGAGAAGGCGTTGGCGGAGAAGGCGTTGGCGGAGAAGGCGTTAACCCCGTTGTGGCGGCGGCGGTCGGAGAAGGGGTCCCGGGGACGGCCCCGGCGGGGGTCCCCGTCAGCGGCCCGGCGGTAGGCGAGGCAGATGGGGGGGTGGTGCGGGGGGCGGCGGTGGTAGGGGCGGGGGTGGTGGGGGCGGCGGTGGATTCGGCTTCGGCGATCGAGATCGGCAGGGACACCGCCAGCGCGTAGGTCTGGGGCCCGCCCTCCACGAGGTCCTTGGAGGCGGAGACGGTGACGGTCCAGGTGCCGGCGGTGATGTCGGACGCCGGTACCACGACGCGCTCGACGTTGTTGCGGTCGTCGAGGATGCACGAGTCCTGGTCGCTGGTGCACTGCCCCGACCTGCTCGGCGGAAGCAGGGGGGGGAGGGAGGGGAAGGTTGAATGGGGGGCGGGGTGTGCAGATCTACTTGAATGGGAAGCAAAAGTTGATGCAAGGTGCGCAAGGGTATATAAGCAAAAGCAACCACCCAGGTGGACTAGCAAACTCCACCGTTAAGCAAAAGAAAGGGAAATGAACGCCAGCGGATCAAACAAAAAAACACTACTGCTGTGGGACGTATGCGGAGGTGTGCAAGTACATCGTCAGGGTCCTCGAATGACCGAGGCACCGAAAACAAAGCTGCGAAAAAAACACGTCACAGACACCAACCACAACAAAAAACACAAATCGCTCTAGTAGCCCCTCCATTCCCATTGATCGAATCAAAAGATAACCCAGGTTATCGCAGGCAACTTTCATCAGAGTGGAGTGTTATGGAAATGTCTACATACGCATCTCCCTTCTTCGTCAATGTTCAGTACTGCTGGTTATGTAAAACAGTGACGTGGTATGTGTCGCGTGTCGGCTGGAACGTAACGTATGCGGAGGAACTACACTGTACGTACTCCGTCTCACGTTCTGCCTTTCGGTGCTCGACCTCACTATTTTTGGGATCTCTCTCTGTCATCTATCGGACTGTCTGGGTACCTGAGCTGTCCTTGTCGTACCTTGGGTGCTGCCGGCGTGTGCTGCCTAGACCACAAGCGTCTGTGTGGTGTATCTGTCAGTGTTGGCCACCTAAGCGCAACATATCTCCGTTTTCTTCTGCACTCAAGTACTGCTGTGCTTATGCTGCTACAAGCTCCACGAGCAATCACATCACTAGCGTCTGTGGGCGTCAGCTTCTTCTGCTACTTGCTGTGGGTACACACACAATGCCCATACAGGTTATGAGCCTGCGTGCCCCTCGACCCACAACAATCCCTTTCCATGAATTCATTGCCTAACATATCTCAAGACTCTTTACTGGCCAAAGAGATTATTCTGTCGTGTATTTCCTTTCAGGAAAAACACGGCACAAAAATAACACTAGAGAAAAGACGAGAGAGAAACCAGACACTGACACAAGACACTTACATGGTCCAGGTGGTGCCTCGAAAAAAGAAAAAACGAGAGAGAAACCAGACACTGACACAAGACACTTACATGGTCCAGGTGGTGCCTCGAAAAAAGAACAGACGAAAGAGAAACCAGACACTGACACAAGACACTTACATGGTCCAGGTGGTGCCATCGAATAAAGAAAAGCGATAAACCAGACACTGGCTCTGATGACGCTGACACATACATGGTCCAGGTGGTGCCTCGAAAAAAGAAAAGACGAGAGAGAAACCAGACACTGACACAAAGACACTTACATGGTCCAGGTGGTGCCATCGGGACCCTCTACGAAGAGATCGAGGTCGTGCACCAGCTGCACCGAGGACGAAGTCGTGGCCGGAGGGTCCATCCACACCAGGGTCGCTCGGATGCCCCCGGGCCCGCTACCCGACCCCCCGGCCGCCGCTGTGTCCGCGTCTTCCGCCGACACCGTGAACGTCCGCACCTCCGTCTCCTCGGCTTCGACCTGAGAAAAGAAACACACAAACGAGACCACCAGCAACGACAACAAAAACAAAGGAAAAAAAATGGAATCCATCATCCACCCCCACCTTTCCGGCGCTCGTGCCGCGCGCGCGCACACACGAAACGAAAAACGAAAAGAAAAAAAAAAAAAAGCCCCGACGTATGTATTCATACCTCGATAAAAAAAAAAAAAACGACAAGAAGAATCGAATCCACGACCCACCTGTCCCGCGCTCGTGGTGGAGCCATCGGCGTCCTCCATGTACAACGCCCACACGCCCTCCCCCTCGAAGGGCAAGGCCGAGTCGAGGTTGATGCGGCCGAACCCTCTCTGGCCATCGGGGTCGGTGCTGCCGCCCATTGCGTCCGCCCCGTGGATGAGCAGCGCCTGACACAAGACACAAGACAAGAAACGAAACGTTCAAGCAGGTGTTCGATTCGTCCAATGAGAGGAGAGGGAGGCTGAGGTGTTTCGTATGATACGTACGTGCTGCTGCCGTAGGTGTTGGGCAGGTGCAAAAGACGGAGCATCATGCTTAAAAGTAGGTTTGTGAGAGACGAGGATCATGCGCTCGTACGTACCGCTGTCTGTTTCGGGAGAGAAGAGGAAGATCGAGTGTGATGTCATGATCGGGTCTGCAAGGGCACCGACTGGGGCGGACCTTCTTTACTAATAGACCCATGCACGAGTGTGCGCTAAGTTTGCTGTTGCCCACCGCCAAAATTACTACAGTGTGATGCAAGAAACGACGCGGAACAGGGCTCCTGGTTGAAAGCCAGCAATGCATGATCATCCGTGGTCCAATTCCTCCCTCCCTACATTACTGCCCCCGTCTCGGTGTATGCCATCGGGGTTGGGTTTTCGTCGCCTGGCAACGACGTTGTTGTAGCATAAAACAAGCCGACCACTTCGTGAGCTCGGCAACCAGGTTACCGCTCTTTTTTTGCCCTTGGTTTTTGTTGCGGGAACCAAAATGGTGGTTGCGTAGACGCGTAGATTATGTTGCGCGGAGTCGAGAACCCTCACTCCGCGCAAAGGTGATGATCGCACCACGTCGTGTTAAATTGATCAAGCATCCTCGAGGCAGATACACAGTGCTTACAACTGTCTCAGGAAGTGAAAGCACCAGAAACTAAAGTAAGGCATTCGAAGCTGTCATCCGTATGCAAGGAAGTAAACACAAGATGCCGAACACCCTTAGCAGGATGCAGCGCAACCTTCATGCGACTCGCCGAATACCTCACGGCGCTTCGCGCTTGGTGATGTGACAGCCTGGTTCGGTGAGAACCCGGTGTGTTCCGTCCCGGCTTCTTAGGGATGCGAGGTCAATGGTCTGACGACTACGGCATGCACGACAATGAGTACCCCCCCCCCCCCCCCCCCA